CAGAGACAGGGCGCGCTGCTGCCGATACTGCTGCGCTTTCGGGGAGCTGAGCTCGGCAGCCTATGCCAGGAGGAGGCGGTGACGTCAGGCAGCACCTCCAGGGCTCCAAGCCACCCCCTCAGGCCCCCACCCAACCCTCATACCCCAACATCTCCTCCTGGCAGAGCAAGCTTCTGCCACACAGGTTCCCAGTTCCACGCCTTTCCCCTGCCCAGGGGCTATCAGGCACACCCCTACCCACCCTGTGAGCAACTCACCTTCCGCAGTCCTGTGCCTAGGAAGGGTTGAAGCTTCAGTTCTCTGGCTGCCTGATTCTTCACCCTCAACCCTTCCCCACTTGGTCCCAGGAACACATTTTTATACTCTAGACATCATCTCTTCTCAGGGCCACGTCACCTTTCTCTCCTTCAGCTGTTGAGGACAACCCCTCTCCCCAGTCTTGCTTCTGCTGGCCTGGTTCTGAACAGAAACTGTGCATTTGGGAGAGAAGAGAGGGCCGGAACCTGAAAAACAAACTCGAACATGTATTTCACATCAAATAATCCAAAGGAACCACTTTCCTTTCCATGGAGTCTCCAACTTATCTTTCACTCCTCCTGACCCATGTTCCTCCTCTCTTCCCTCACACACTCATCTCCAGGTCCAAGACCCGCTCAGGATATGAAACACTTATATTCGGACAATGAAGACACTGGCTAGCACATACAGCACGCACAAGGCTTACACAGCAGGGAAACGAAAATATCACCCAGAGGAGTGCGGAAATGAACTGCCCCGTGAAAATTCTGACTATTGTGCTTCTTACAAAGTACCCCCTCATTGGCCCTGATGCTGTTAAAGTTCTCAATGCCTTTGCTGTCCTATTAACAATAGCCTTTCAGCACAACTGACAGAATTTCCTGAAAGAGTCCTATAAGCTTGCCTAAATATGGACAAAGACTAATCAACTATCGGTTTAACATTGTGTTAAACCAATAGTTGAAAATGAAGTATTCTCATTTTTCTACTGGAGAACCCAGCTTGGAACAGCACATAAAAACATTGTAGGGTCTTAGAAGGCACTTAGGTGTCTTATTAAGTGTGCATTTCATTCTTCCCTCTGGGTCTGGTGTTCTTCTTAGCCTTAAGCCTAACACAGTGCCTGCACAATACTTACCTTGCTACATTGAGTGGTGCAGTACACATTGTTGTTTTTGTCCTGCGATGCAGCAGGATTGAGAGATAGCAGGAACGATTGATGCCCACCCATCTACTTGTATTTGCCAGCAGGCGCTTTGGCAAGAAAGAGAGTTTGACATTGGGAGGAAAGGTTGTTCGTTGCAGGTGGGGAGTTCCTTCTGACCCTGTGTTCCTATTTAGTCCTATTCCAGCTTCTCCTTTTCCTCTCCATGCCCAAGACTTATATATGCAGAAAGAAATATATTATTTCTCCAAAAATTCTGTTCCCATTTATTTTAATAAAAGTCATCAGCTTTTTCTTCATAATTGTTTCAATCTTTAAAAAAAAGTATCCCTATTTAAGTGAATAATTCAGTGCATGCTGAATAATGCATGATTGCTCAGAGCACGAATTGATGCCCTTGGCTGCCAGAGTCACAGTTAATGATGGACAATGACCCCGGTGCTGGCTTATTTTTCCTGCCTGAAATGAGGGCACCCAATGCCCTGTAAAAGCCACCTGCCACATTTGGACATTCTGACTTTGATGGGCTCAGAGAAGGAATGGTGAGAGCCTTGTTTTCACTGTGATCGCTAAGTTTGACCTCACCATTGACACTTGACATACAGTGTGCTCCATTTCTGTGTACTCTCTTTGCTCTTGAAAAGTTGAGTCTAAACATTTTGCAAAGCAAATCCAATTTTGAATACTCCAAAAAGGGATTTGGCTATTTAAAGAGACACTTTAGAAAAACTGTCTTGTAAAGCAAAGAATCTTTACATAATTAGACTTAACTCTCACTTAGTCTGTTTTCTAGACGTGGAGAAATGCATTGCAGAGTTTTCCCAGGAGGAACATACATACCTTTATAGTACATGGTAATGGGATTACAATATGTACATAATGGGATTCCTTTTGCAGACCGAGTTTTTAGGACATGTGATGAGTCTGCCATTTTTCCTTTTCTCTTGTCAGAAACAATATCCGTCTGTTATGTACACCAGGAATGATAAAAGTGAGTGGGTCACTTTACACAACCTCTGAAAAGATAACGCCTGGTCCTGGAGGACTTCCATTCTACAGCAGATGAACATGATCCAGAAGACAATGATATTTAATTGGAAAGGTCTTGGGCAGATTAAAGACATCAATTTTCAGGTTTTAATCCCAACATGCTTTTCTTCCTTTCTCTTTAAAAAAGAATAGGCTGCAGGTTCATAATTTGTTCTTACCCAGAGAATAAATGTGCTAAATACAAAGACTTGGACATCACTAGGTAGTGTGATTTAAGCCCCAGAAATAGCAATGGCAGCAAGAACTGATCCCACTGAGTTGCTTTATGATTTTGGCACATCTGGCACAGTGGCAAGGCCTCTTCCACACAACAGGTCGCCACCAGACTTCTCAAGCCACAGTTCTAAGAGCTGAGAACCAAGAAGCCTCTGAGATTCCCAGACTTGTGATGGGAAAGCCCCTCTGGACTCAGGTACATTCCAAATATACAGTGAGCGATCTCTATCTAACTTAGAGAAAAGTGCCACATGGGCACCTGGTACATCAATCCACAATCGTATTGAATCAATAACAACAGCCCTGAGTGGCGGCACAGTTGGTTGGAGTATCATCCAGTACATCAGAAGGTTACAGGTTTGAGTCCCAGTCATGACACATGCCTAGATTGAGGGTTCGATCCCCAATTGGGGCACATATAGGAGATAATCAATCTATGTTTCCCTCTCACGTTGATCTCGTTCTCTCTCTCCCTCCCTCCCTCCCTTTCTCTCTAGAATCTATTTAAAAAAAAACATATCCTCAGATGAGGGTTATAAAAAATAACATCAGCAATAAATGCTATTATTTTTATTATTTACAAAATACCTACTATATACCTGGGCTTTACTAAACTCTCCCTATATTAGCATTAATCCTCAAATACCCCTGAAGGTTATATTTTCTGAAAATACAAAATTATGTATTTATTCACTTATTTGCTCAAGAAAAAACTTTGAGCACCTGCTGTATGTCAGGTGAGAAAACCAAAGCTCAGAGTAGCTAAAGACCAAGCCCAAGTCACTTACTAGGAAGTACCATATATACTGGAATCAAACCCAAACAAACTGATTCCAAAATTAGTATTATTTTAAGGACTATTGGTTTCTCTCTCTTTCTTTCACATGCATACACACACACACACACACACACACACACACACACACACACATCGTTATTTCTATCTCTATTTTGATTTTATCTCTATTTACTTCTGATTGGAAAAGTGTAAACAAATAAAAGTAGAGAAAAGCAGAGACCTTTCCCTTTGGGTCCAGCAGAGGAGGGGGAATGAGA